GCCGGTCACTTCGCCGGCAGTGGCCAGCCGGGCTCCACGCTTCCTTCCTTCCCGCGTAAACATTGCAACTCCCCCCAAAAACAAAACACGACACAGCCCTGGCTGGATGCATTCCGACTTACGCTTTGTCTATTAAAAAAAAGTTGACGCACGTCACAGATAACCACAACTGTCACTTTTCGCTTTCGCGCCTTTCTGTCAATTCTTTCGAAGTGTTTTTCTTTTAAAAAGTTTACGTGTGTTACTTTATTGTAAACGTGTTAAATTGTTAAGGTGTTTTTACGTAATTATAGTTTTATAATTAAATAATTATTTAACTTTTATAATTTAAGGCTGTATGTCATCGTGTGTGTGAGTATGGTGTAGATAAAAGAAATATTGAGATAAGAATGACATCAACTTACGTAAGGTTTGCGGCGGCATCTGTTAGTTGCCGGTACAAAGTACAAACATAATTTAATTACTAAGAAATATAATTTTATAGGCTATAAGAGGAGCCAAATAATTTAAACAGTCATTAAACATATTAGAGAAACTTTTTAATTAAATGCATATATAATATTAACCATGTTTTAGTCCTTAGACCAGTTTTAATTCATTTCTAATTATCAAAAGTTGAGGGTGAGTTTAGAAACATTAGTATTAGATGTCTATTATAGAAATTTGAGTACTTTAACATATGTTAAGTAATTATTACCGCCTTTCAAGTAACGAGTCCCTTATTATACGTAACTTGCATCTTATTTCCATAAGTATTTTTAACAACGGCCTGTCTCTTATTTCTTCGCTCTACTTTATCTTTTTTATAGTAAAAGGGATAATATATTCGTTCCTTTACAAACCCTTCTTACGGATCTTCAATTATTTCCTCAATCTCTATTTTATGATAAACATAATTCCCTTTATTAAATTACCTTCTTAAAAAAAGTAGAGCTTTTTAGATAATCGCTTCCACGGCCGAAACACAAATAGTTTTGTCCTTTTCACTCCCTTTTAAAAAGTAGAAAGAAAAGCATTTTGTAGTCACGTTTATGTTTCCTTTTTCATTTTACCATCAAAAATATAACCATTAAGAAAAGAAAGCATTTGTCAATGTCAGCTGGCGAGTTAACCGACAACTTTATTGCTTCTCAAATTTGTATTGACAATGTTGGCAACATACGACAACACGTTTTAGTTGTGTAAAAATATTAATGATTTATGTGCTAGAAGTTATTATTATTTGTTTATTATATGCAGTCGTTTTAATATTTAACTATCTGTTCCCGTGCGACTTCATTCGCATAAAATTATGAAAATTGTTTTATTGATTACATTTATCTAATTCAATTGCAAATGTCAAAATGACATGACATGATAACAAAGTATGGTAATTTTACTTCCTTGATGTTGGCAGTAACTTATGGCCTCTTTCCCACATTAGGGTTTTTATCCAAAATATTTACCCCCTAAGTTTAATGGCATGAAAATTTATAGCCTAAAGCGTGACGTAAGTGTAGAGCTTTTTCTTAAAAAAAAAGAGTTATTCAATAATATGCTGTAATTGCTGACATCTTAGGCAACAAAGAAGTGTGTGTTTACGCTTTATTATAATAGTATAGAGTATAGATTAGTATAGCTCATATTTTAAGACCAACATCGCACTGTTTTTAAGACGGGATTAATGCAAGTTTTCATTCTGAAAATGTCTGGAAAATGTTCCAGATCTCTACTTACATTAAAAAAATATATAAAATACGGACATATAAGAAGTTTGACTAATACTCGTATAATATAGTGTAATATAAGTACTAAGTAAAAATACTTAGTCTATAGTAAATATTATTTTAAAACATTTTCCGTGCATATTTTGTGCGAGTTCGGTCGGCTTAGTTCCCTGCAATTTTGACGGCTTATCTATAAGAGTGTGTGGCTACTGAATCTGTGTGCTTTAGGTATTTTAGTTTTTAATATGTAGGTTTCATGTGGATGTAATATATTTTTAATTACTGTCTGAAATATAATAACATTTATTTTAAGTTTCGTATCTTACTATATTTAATATTTATTATATTGAAAAGCGTTACTAATCGTACTTCATACTAAAATTATCAATGCGAAAGTTTGGACGGATTGATGTTTGTTACCGAGTACCACCAAAATGGCTTAACGGATCTTGATGAAATTCGGCATAGATAGAGCATAGTCTGGAAGAACAAATAGGAATCTAAGTAGATTATTAAATTCCGAGCGTAAAGTCGTGGGCAAGTCATCTTACTAATGTTATAAATGCGAAAGTTTAGATGGATGGATGGATGTTTGTTAGCGTTTGTAGCCTAAACGGCTGAACGGATCTCCATTAAATTTGGCACTGGTTTAGAGCATAGTCTGGACGAACACATAGGCTACTTGTTATCCCTGGAATAGTTACAGTTCCCGTGGGATGCATTAATTTATTTTTTTAATGTTTACTCGATCATCCAGCAACGGTTCAACATATCTTATTTAAATTTGGCACAGATATAAAACAAAGTCTGGAGTACACATGGGATAAGTTTCATCCCCAAGAAATGTCCGGTTCCCGAGGGATACGTAGCTTTTTGTAATTTTTATAGTTTGCATGTTTTCTAATACCACGCGTACGAAGTCGCGGGCAACAGCTCGTGTGTATATAAAAATATTGACCGCATCGATAACATTAATAACTCACAGTTATTCACTGCCGTCGAAAATATAAACATTAATCAACACATAACAACAGGTTTTATTTGAATAATTATGTACTATTTCACGTAGCGTGCTAGAAATTACCGCAATCCGTTTAATGGGGTTGTTGTACAGAAAGCAGTATTACGAAGCTACTAAGAATAGACAATATACGAGTATTGCCATAGCGGACTTTTCTATAGTACTTTTTAAGATCTACAATTCCTTCATACATCCTTTTTATATCCCTCTAACACGAAAACTATTGATTAAAAAATATTGTGTTTTTAATTTCGGGGTCCAGTAATACTCTGTTTATTGATAGTTCCTCATTATTACTAATAATAAAATATGGCCTATATTACAAATAAATTACCTGTCTAATGCTGAAAGAATTTTTAAAATCGGACCAGTAGTTTTTGCGTGAATCGAATAAATACATTAATCATATACACGCAAAAATTCAAAAATATGAATCCTTGTCTTTACAATAGTAGTATAGATTGGTCAATGATGTTATCAATAAATATTACCACCAATTTTAAATAAAGAACTGTTTGTAGACGGATCGTAACTTCCCGTAGATGAAGGAAAGGCAGTATGAAAAATCATTCGAGAAAACATACAATATACACACAAAGGATGTTTTTATGTACAGAGAAAGAGATTTTGAGAAAGTTTTCTCTATACGATATAGGTTTAATCTTGAAATAAAGTTACAAAATAATCGCTAACATTTTATAAGAAGTTAAATTAATAAAAAGTAAGAATTTGAGAGTTTAAGTTCTTTGTATCGCAACTTTATATGTAGAAATATGAGATGTGGAATTTATTGAAAATAATTAGGTACTGAAATATTAAATTATCATTCCAGAAAAACTTTTAGGCGTATATTTTTTATATAAAAGACGAGTCGTATGTATGTCTGTAGCACTTTAAATGCTCGCCTTGTGCACTTTAATATGCTTGACTTAAAGTTTTTACTAATGACGTCGTTAAAAAGGAATATTTTATTTTTTTTTAAGCACGTAAAGCTTTTGAGGGCGAAAATTACTGTTTTTTCATCTTATTGCAAAGATTTAAAAATAATGTAAGAGTATGTTTATAAATGAAGTATTGGTGTGTATGAAGACGGTACAGGGGCTAATAGCAAAGAGCTTCGACTAATATCTCGAGTAGCTCTCGCAAGACAGTTGGATTAAGGGACTGCAAAAAGCAGGTATTTTAAAAACCGCACGCATTGCACGGTTCCTGTTTCTGCAGCCCTGCCAAGTGGTTGTGTGAGTCATCAGATTCTGCAGCCGGCGGTATTCTAATTTTTACATCATATGTTTTATTTCATATAAATGTAAGTAATCGAATAAATATATATGCGCATGAAATTAGTTTAAATAAAACTTGTTTTACTTATCAGGCCACATACTGAAACGAATTTTGAGAATTCGCATTGTAAATGTCGCTTACAATCTCCTAGGTGTTAAGATTTTAGTCGAATTTGGAGTTAATGCGTGGCCTTTGAGACGCTGTTCCATTTTAAATGCCGTTTCAGTATATGGGCGTTCAAGAATTTAATCAAACGGTAGTTATAAAAAACATAATGTAAAAATTTCTTGAATGTTTTTTTTATTAATGAAAAAAAACACACATACTCAGATCTGTAAAAATCTGTAAAATGGATAGGTCTTAAAATAGACGAATTGCAACAGACTAAACAAAAGAAGTAAATAAATAAACAATTAAAAATAACTTTCAATCTACCATCCCTCTCTTCAATCATAAGTCATCAATGAAATGATAAACAAAGGCTTTATGAAGAGCTTTTCAACCCCGCATGCCATTGTTAACCCTCCGATTGCCTCAGCTCGGGGGTGAAAAAGGTCTAAATAAAAATAAGAACTAAATACTTTCTCATTTCCTATATGAAGCCTTTGTCAATGGAACTGGGATTGTGACGTGATTAACTTTTCTTTTAAAAGGAGAATTAACCCACAATTGTAATGAAATGTTACTTCTAACTTATTAATTTTTTAATTTAGATTTCTTTTAAATCTTTATAATACTTTTGATGTGAAACCAACTGTAGGTCTGGTAGCATAATATAGGTTTAATTTTTCGCGTAAAACCTACCACTAATATGAATAGTAACTATATATAATAAAGAGAAAAAACTCAAAAACTACTGGGCCGATTTTAAAAATTCTTTCACCATTAAAAAGCTGCGTTATCAGTGAGTACCATAGACTAGATTTTTTAACATGTGGACGAAGTCGCGAGCAACTGCTAGTATATTTACATGTAGATGAAATACTTGCCTTCGGGCTTGGGCACAAACAAGTCCGTTAACCCGGCTTAAGGGATAATAGAGCTCAATTCTTTACTGTCTACTTAAGCAATTCTTCTCTGGCGCGTCCACGTCGCGGGGGTGGACATCACATCTTCCAGTAGGCCGGGAGGTGTAGATGACTAAGTTCAGCAGAAGGACCCAGTGCTGTGGGGTATAACATGGCTCCCTGCCTAGGGATACAGGTGAAGACCTCAACGGTGGTGATGGCGAAGTTGTTTTCGAAACAGAAGTCGGCAGATCCAGCGGAAGGGGCGAGCCTTGTCATAAAGGCGTAGTTTCTATGACCTGGGGTTGAAAGCAGCAATTCCAGTACTTGCATAAGGACAAGGCTATAGTAGCTTAAAGGGCTTATGTAAGATAACCGTGGGCGCAGTCGACACCTTCGGCGCGACGGCCACGGCACTGCGATGACGGAAGGCAACGGGATACCACCGTCATTATTTTCCCTAGTAGTCAGCACAATGAACAGTACAAGGAAAGATATGGCCCCGAGTCCCCGGCGTCCCTTAAATGGGACAGGGGTGCTAAGAATCTCCGGAGGGAAATCTAACAAATTAAATAAGACAAGGATAGGAACATGGAATGTAAGAGGAATGCGACAACCCGAAAAACTTCCAAATATTATTAAGGAGATGGATCGCCTAAAATTAGACATCTTAGGTCTAAGCGACACAAAATGGCCAGGTCAAAATAAATACCATACCCCAGAAGGAAAAATTCTTTATTACTCGGGTAGCGACCAACAATTTGAACCATATGGTGTTGGGGTTCTAATGAACAAAGAGACTTCCAGATATGTGACAAATTTTCTCCCGCTATCAAACCGTGCTATGCTTGTCCAGCTGAACGCATATCCGGTTAATATCAATATAATAGTTGTTTATGCTCCGACTGCCGACAAACCTATAATTGAGATCGAAGAGTTTTATGGGCAAATAGACACACTAATGCAGCAAACAAGAAAACACGACATAACCCTTTTAATTGGTGATTTAAATGCAAAAGTAGGTTCAACGTCAGTGCCAGGAGTGACGGGCTCATATGGTCTGGGATCGAGAAATGATCGAGGTGATATTTTAGTGGAGTTTTGTCAGGATAAAGAACTTACGATCACCAATACCCTCTTTAAGTTGCACCCGCGCCGCTTATACACTTGGACGTCACCGAGACATAATTCTAGCCATATAATGCGGAACCAGATAGACTACATCATAATAAACCGTAGGTTTCGGAACTCTATTAAGAACGCTGTTTCCTACCCGGGTGCGGATATTAATTCAGATCACAACCCTGTCGTTGTTACGCTGCAGTGCAAATTTAAGCACATGCAAAAATGTTCAAGGAGATCTGTAATTGATACTAAAAAATTGAAAGAGCATCACACTAGAGCAGCAGTATCAAACTCTATCAATCAATGGGCACAACAACAGCTGGATAACATAAAGTCGCCTTTAGTATCTTGGTCGAATCTAAAAGAAAAAGTCGCCGATATTTGTCACTCCTTATTGGCACCAAATCGCCGTGTCAAGAAACAACAATGGATGACGGCTGAAATTTTAGAACAGATGGAGGAACGCAGAATGTTTAAGATCAAAGATCCTAGTAAATACGCCGAGATTAACAAAGTAATAAAGAGGAAAATAAAAATTGCCAGGAATAACTTTTATAAGGACAAGTGTGATCGCATAGAACATCTTTTGCAGAAACACGATAACTTTAATCTTCATAAAGAAGTTAAGGAGTTAGCAGGTCTGAACAAAAAACCTAATTTCAACATACTGTGTGACGACCATGGCAGGTACCTTGTTGACCGGGAAAGTAAGAAGCGTATTTGGAGTGACTATATCATGAAAATGTTTGCTGATACTTCGAGAAGTATTAGTGGTTTAACCACGGATGATACCGGACCGCCCATACTAACATCCGAAGTAAAGCGAGCTTTGCGAGTAGCCAAAACAGGAAAAGCGCTTGGCCCAGACAACGTACCTATTGAAGTTCTCAAGCTTTTAGAAGACGATTATTTAGAAGCTATAACGCGTCTCTTCAACCAGGTCTATGAATCGGGTATGCTTCCTGAAGACTGGCTCAGGTCGACGTTTATTACTCTTCCCAAAAAAGCAAAAGCTAAAAAGTGTTCAGAGTATCGTACGATCAGCCTTATGAGCCACGTATTAAAGGTGTTTTTGGCTATAATTCACGATAGGATACGACCACTATGTGATGAGCAACTTGGGGAAAGTCAATTTGGCTTCCGGTCAGGTATGGGCACCCGAGAGGCACTGTTTGCCCTGAACGTACTGGTCCAGAAATGTCAAGATATGCAGATTGACA